ATATATAATTATATATTTTGCATGTTATCATTAGTTTTACAGAACTCATTATGTATTTTGATAATGCATATGTCGTAGATCTCTTGGAACGTGGCAAGAAACAGCTGTTCAAGCTAGCTCGTTATATCCCCTCTATTCGTGATAGAATAAATACAGAACTAGTTAATATTAACAATAATTTCGAAAAAGATGTTGTGCGCAGACTCAAAGAAACTTCCTTTATTGTGCATCTTCCTGAAAAAGGACTAAATAGTGAAGAAATATTAAATTTAGTAAAGCAGAGCGTTCATTTAGGTAAGCTAAACTAACTTTCTCTCAATATATCTTCTTGATGCAGTACTTTAATTCAATTTTTACCCGACTCTTTTTCTAGGTGATTATGATTGGCAAGGGGGTCGTGTATCTGGTGCAGTTTATAGAATTAACAGTGAACTTAGAGAGCTGATGGGAGAGGTGTATGCAATTGCATCGTACACTAACCCGTTGCATCCAGATATATTCCCTGGAATTTGTAAAATGGAAGCAGAGGTTGTTAGAATAGCCTCCCACTTATTCCATGGAGACGAAGAAACTTGTGGAACTGCAAGTAGCTTTTCTCATTATTTTTAAAATTGTAATAATTGTACAGATTAGAAAGGGAGAAGAAGAAAAAGAAATATAGATATAATGTAATCTCTCATCAACATTTTTAGATGACTACAGGTGGCACAGAATCGATTTTATTAGCGTGTAAAGCATTTAGAGATTATGCTCGTGAAGTCAAAGGCATCAAGAACCCGGAAATAGTGATGCCGGTCACTGCTCATGCAGCATTTGATAAAGCTGCACAGTTTTTAAACATAAAAATATGTACTGTACCTGTCCATCCGTATAGTTTTAAAGCTTCTATCCAACACATGAGAAAGTCAATTACGAAAAATACAATAATGGTAAGGCACAACATGATATAATCGTATAAGTTTATTTCACAAATCATATTGTTAGAGTTTATATATTTTTGATAGTTGGTAGGATCTGCACCCAATTTTCCCTATGGGACAATGGATAACATTGAAGAAATTTCTGAATTAGGTGTGAAATACAATATCCCTGTTCATGTAGATGCCTGTCTAGGTGGTTT